TTCCACCAAGTCCATTGTACCTCCTCTCTACTGCTCTGCCCCTCTTTCTGGTAGCCTCAATTCTACAGCCAAATTTCAAGGGTTTATTATTGTTTTTATTTGTCTATATTCCACATGTAAGTGACACCAGCTGGTAAGTTTAACATTTTAAGAAACTATTAAATATTTTCCAGAGTAGTAGCACCATTTTACATGCCCACCAATAATGACTGTACCCCATATTCTTACCAACAATTGATAAGATCATTCTTTTTTTTTTAATTTGGCTGTTCTGCTGGGTATGTAGTAAAACTTCATCATGATAACAATTTGTACTTCCCTACTGACTAATGATATCAAACATCTTTTCCAGCATTTATTTGCCATTCATATATCTCTGTGAAATGTGTATTCAATTATTTTGCCTATTTTTAAAAATTGGGTTGTTTGTCTTCTTGTCATTGAATTATAAGTTTACTTTCATTTAAACTCAAATCCTTTCTCAGATACGTTTTGCAAATATTTTCTCCAAGCTGTGGCTTGTCATTTTGGGTTGATGGTATCTTTTGAAGAGCAAAAGGATTTTAATTTTGATGCAATTCTTAATATTGTGTTTTGCATTTATAGTCCATAAGAGTTGTGTCCTATTTAAAAAAAATATTCTTGGGGCCTCCCCAGTGGCACAGCGGTTGAGCACTGGGTGCAAAGCTGCCCACAGCTGGTTCGATCCCCGGTCGCAGGCAGGGGTCCCACATGGCGCGACACACCTCTCCTGCTGCACCCGCTGCTCCCCTCAGCAGTGTACTTCATCACTCTGCCTGTTCTGCTCCCCTGTCTGGCTCTGGTGGATTCTCTCACCCTCCCACGCTTCTGACTGTATCCAGTGCTTGTATAAATAAATAAATAAATCTTTTTAAAAAATTAAAAAAATAAAAATTAAAAAAATTTAAAAAATCTTGAAAAACTAAAGGTTATTAAGATTTTCTACTTTATTTTTAGTAAGTTTTAGATTTTCAGTTCTCACATTTTGCTTATATAACTTCAGTTTAATTTTTGTATAAGCTGCAAAGAAAGGATTAATGCTTATTTCTTAAATAGGGCTATCCAGTTCTTTCAGCACCATTTGTTGAAAGCTATTTCCAATAAATTATCATTTTGTTTTAATAAAAATTAGCATATGAATGTGAATTTACTTTTGAATGGTTTATTCACTTCTATCCTATTTTTTCCAACCATGATGTCAATACCACCTGTCTTCATTACTAAAATTTTACAATTAGGGGCCTACCCGGTGGTGCAGGCGGTTGAACACAGTGCTGTAAAACTGTCCACAGCCTCTGCAGCTCCAGTTCGATTCCCAGCTGGCCAGGGAGATTCCCACATGGTGCGGCAAACCTTTCCTGCCTCGCCTGCTACTTTCCTCAGCAGTGCTTTTGGTCTATCTGCCTGTTCTGCCCCCCACTCTGTCTCTGATGAATCCGCTCACCCTCCCACACCTCTGGCCTGTACCCCAGCTATTGTGTAAATTAAAAAAAATCAAAAATAATTTTTACAATTAGTTTAGAAGTCAGATAATGTAAGCTTCCAACTTTCTTCTTATTTTAAGGTTGTTTACTAGGACCAAATAATTGCTAAAGAATGTATACAAGTGGCACTGTCTGTATTTAGCATAATTTTAGAGACATTACAGAGGGAGTAACATGATATTCTCCAGAGCAACTGCAATTGTCTTTTTTTTTTTAATTTATTTATTTATGCATACAAGAACCCAGGCACAGGCCAGATGTGCAGGAGGGTGAGAGGATTCACCAGGAACAGAACAGGCAGACTGATGGAAACACACTGCCGAGGGGAGCAGCAGGCGGGACAGGAAAGGCCTGCCGTGCCATATGGGTATCTCAGCTGCCAGCTGGGATCAAACCCACTCTGAGGAGGCTGAGGACAGCTTCACAGCACTGTGTCAACCGCCTGCACTACCAGGGGAGGCCCTGCAATTGTCTTTTAATCTGATTGCTTGTTTACAAAAATTTCCCTCATCCCAAAATAGGTGTCCTACTCTTAATAAATCTTTTTTTATTTATTTATGCATACTAGAAATGGGATACAGGCCAGAGGTGTGGGGAGAGGATTTGCCAGGGACAGAGTGGGTACCAGAAAAGGCTGAAATACACTGCTGATTGACTGAAATACACTGCTGAGGGGGCCAGCAGGCAAGTCAGGAGAGGTCTGCTGCACCATGTGGGTAGAACCCCTGGCCAGGGATCGAAATCATGCTGCAGTGGCTGAGAACAGCTTCATAGGTTGCGTCTCAACCCCTTGAACTGCCAGAGAGGCCCAGGTGTCCTACTTTTAAAGGCCAATAAGCTAAGACTCCAAAGCAGGGTTCTATACATTCTGGTCTGCAATGTCATGTCAGTGGATCCAAACTTTTTCATAATCTTTCATTATGTGTTGAGGATATGATAATGTATATAATTCTCATATAATATCTTAAACTTATAAAATGCTTTAAAATTACAAAATATTTTTCACAAATATTGTTATTTCAAATTCATAGCAAATTTTAAAAGGTTTTGGAAGCATTATTAGTGTAATTATTAAAATAGGTACATTATAAAACTGGCAGTAAATATTGCATTCCTGTATGTACTCACATAGTAAATAACACATGAAATTATAGGGTATAACCAAGTCCATTCAAATATAATAATTTTGCAAAAACAGGTAGAAAAATATTTGCATATATAATGAATATGTGTATTAAGTTATAAACTAACATAAATAGAAATAGAAACATATCAGAAATAGTTGAAATAGACAGTATATTTTATAGGCATTCAAAAGTAGTGAGAAACATGAGTGAGTGAACTGGGCATGAAAGTGTTAACAGACTAAGAGACACTCCAGGTTATTTTAAAAGAAAATAACAAGTTGATAGTCAAGGAGGAGGAAAAGGACTTTTTTGGAAGTAGCAACCTGAACAAAGGCATGGGGGTAAAGATACATACAGTCTGGGTTGGAACAGTGAAAAGGATATGCTCTCTGTAGGAAAGGAATTGGTTAGAAAAATAATCACAGAAGATGACAGAATTACAGGTTGATGTGGGTGACAAGGGTACAATGCTTTTTCTCATACAAAGATACAACTTATGTTATCACCTGTCTACTGATAATTCTTGGTCCAAGATTTCAGACCAAAACTCTATCCTGAATTATGGACATTTATATTTCAGTGCTTGCAGAAACTCAATGCCTGAGTAATCCCATAAATAACTCCATCTGAAAATATTCACACCCAAACAACACATTTTTACTGAAACTTGCTCTTACTTCTATATTCTCAATTTTATTAAAGGTATCATAAATCACTCAGGAGCCTGAGTCAGAAACTTTCTTTATTCTATTCCAATGGAAGTCAATTATGTGAATTTTTAACTCTAAATATCTCTTCAATATCTTTTCTCTTTTATATAAGCATTATTATTGCCTTCATAAAAACATTGATCACTCTTTTCAGAATTATTGGAATGTCCTACTAATTAGTTAATTCTATATTCCATTGTACTTGATGATGCAGGCTTTCGTTTTTTTTATAAGAATGTGTTTGGACACTTGTGTGAGCCTTTTAGAAAAAGAACCATAAACTATTTCATTTTTCTACTCCCATTTCTTAATATGATAGCTGGAAAAAGAATGTACTAGCTACATATATTTTTGAGTGGTTGAAGTGAGTCTATAATAAAAGCAAAGACTTAAAAAACACAGATCTGGAGATGGTGAATTACGATAGAATGTGTGGAGGTGATAGGCAGTGCGGTGGAGCCCGATACCAGAAAGCATCTTCAGAGTGAGAGTCATGGTGGTGAGCACCTGTTTTGCGAAAACTTGGGCTTGATCTGGATATCGATTCTTACGCTATTATAGCTCCAAAACTTTTGAGTCATTCTATCCCATTTACCCAATTACCCACATCATTTTTTTCAGTCCATTAAGAATCTGAAGCAGAGCATCATGTTGAAAGTATTGGATTGAAAGTTTTGGGACTCAGATTTCTATTAGAAGGAGGTTAAATTGTGACAGAAAATTCAAGCACTTGGTTGTCAAATAACAGTTACATAAATTTGAAGGTTTACCATTGCTTCAAGAGTAAGAAACTATTTGCAAGACTGCATTAGCAGCCTAACTTGCCAAAAAATGAAAGTGTATGGTGGAGATAAGTGACACAAACAGCTAGTGGAACCATATTAGCATATTTTTGGGAAAAGTAATAGGCCATTGCAAGGATTGACATTTTAATCACATTTTCTCTTTCATTCACTTACTTTCTTTAAATCAAGCCTGCTGCTCACTGAATTGGAACACTGTACTTCCTAATCTTGCTACTTTACTGAAGTTCACCTGGTGGTTAAATATTTTCAGTGACTTTAACATTCTTTTAAAAGTGTAATTAAATGACTGTTAGCCTTTGACACAATTAACATTTTCTTCACATTTAAGAAAGAAGAAATTCCAAGGTACTAAATATAGTTTATGTTATAGAATAACAAAGGCAAGAGGAAAGGTTCAAAAGAGGTGATGTTAGTGTTGGGAAAAGGATTTATCAAATAAAATTTTTATGCCAGCTACTTTTGTTCTTTTTGGTCTTTATATAAACTCTAATTTTTTAAAGACATGGAGCTTTACACACCTAAACACAACACAAAAAATATCTTCAGAATGTTTTTTCTCGGGGGTAGGAGAGGCAGCAAAGAAAGTCAATATAAAGAACAGTGAAACATCAGTAGGGCTTGGTGAAGGCTGATAAGAAATAGATATGTCAAATAAGTAAAGCAACAGGGAAGTCATGATTAGCACCACAGGGATATTGGAAATTCCAACTGTGACAGCAAACTTTCTTCATTCCTGGGTTCACTGCCCACTATAAAAAGTGTTTTTGCAACTAACTAATCCATCAATCATAAATCTACTCACTGTGCTGGATGTTATGGAGAAACATAAATCAAGCATAAGAAGGTACCTACCTACTACGAACTCATGGCTTTTCTAGGAAGATGGGACATGTTGGCATTTTCTCCAAGAGTGAAAATGTCCAGCTGATATTTATACTTCCCATGGAGTAGTCTGGAAGAAAAGGAAGGTAGAAAAATTAACTGAGAATTGGCAGGAATGTGGGTCCAGAAATTTAGTCCAAAGATACTGGGTAAAAAAAAAAAATGCTTCAGAGAAACATTTGGTGCTCAAAGGAATCATAAAACAAGGGAAAGGTGGGACATTTTGCTTTCCCCTTGGAGTTGTCACCCAATAATGATCATAAAGTTATGAAAACAATAATGTCAATAATGTAACTGTAATGAACTAATTCACTGAATATTATCAAATAAAGATTCCTTTTGTTTTTTCAGTTTTCAATTTCAAACTCACTTGAATCTCACTTGCCAGTTTGGCAGAGTTGTCTGTGAAGCAAGGGAGATTCAACAAGAGATTGAAATCTATAAAGAATCCACTGGAGGGATTCTGCTGCTATTGATTGTGTTCCCACCAATCAGCACAGTGCTGGTCCCACCATGACAAAGCTATGTGGTTCACTCATATGAAATGTTCTTTCTGTTCAAACACTTTCAGAAGCCTCGGTAGTTTCAGTGTAGACGCTCATACCCATTGATGTTCAGTGTGTCACCCTGTCTAAATATCATCCATTGAGTATCATTGGCCTTCTTCAGAACACACAAAGATTTGACTATATTCTTTTCCCCTGAGTCATCAGGCACCCAACTATCTTAAATTTATGTAATAATGGGGTTCTACTCAAGTGATTCTTCCTTGATCAAAACATAGTCCAAGATAACTGGTGGTCTTCAACTGGACAAATTTTAACGAGAACTTGTCTTATAAATAAGAAAATAATATTAAAGTGCTGGGGTCGTTAGCTATAATTTATTGACTGCGTACTATATACTAATTGTGAACTGCGCTATACTATCTCATTGAGTATGTGATCCCAGCCTCCAGACACAGTCATGAGAGTGCCAAAATAGTTTTCCAATTAGGACTGTGATTTCTAATTACAGTCTCCCTGATTTCAAACACTATGCTCTTTCTTCAATGTCAGAATTCTTCATGCTGATTTTATAGTAGAAACAGTTGGAATCTCTGCCCTAGGGTACAAATTAGTAGAAAGACTATCTTCAAATATGAATATTTACAGGGCATGGATCATTAAAAATATCCCCCTAAAGACAACATATTTCTTTATTAAATTTAGGAGGAAAACAGAGTATCATGGATATAGCTGCATAATTAGTGCTGGGAAGGGTTCAGGGACTAACATGACACACACACTCTCAACACATATATATGTACAAAGCAGCAGTGTGTGCAAATATAATAAGGTTCTAAAATATTTACTGATTTTGTAAACTTTGATTAACTCTCCACTGTGTGCTAATACTGAAATAGTTGTCAGTTACATATGCAAAGAAGTAATCCTTGTTTTCATCAAACAGTACAGTGGCAAAACTGAGTCTTTGAATTATCCAAGCAACCAGAGAAAAAAACAATTTCAGATAACCAGCTACCTTGACAGATAGTCCCTGCATACTAGACAGCTCATTATAATTATTAAAAGTTTATGAAAATGTAGCACCCTCTTAAAAAGATGTTTCATGCCATCTCCTCTCTCTTAAATGCTCTCAGTTTATAGCTTACTTCTTAATTTTCTGAGAAAGTCAAGTAGAATTAAACTTGCACAATGTTCTGTTATCTCATTTATGATCATAGCTGTTCCAAGGATTAGAAATCATCCCATCTTCTCAAGGGCATCACTACAGAAATTCACCCTCACCCAATAACATTAATAATTTTTCTTGGGGGCCTCCTCAGTGGAGCAGCGGTTGAGTGCTGGGCTGCGAAGCTGCCTGCAGCCTCTGCAGCACCAGTTTGATCCCCAGCCACCGGGTGAGGGTCCCACATGGCATGCAGACCACTCCTGCGGCCCGCTGCTCCCCTAGCAGTGTACTTCACCAATCTGCCTGTTCTGCTCTCCCCTCTGGCTCTGGTGAATTCTCTCACTCTTCCGTGCTTCTGACTATATCCAGTGCTTGCATAAATAAATGAATTCATCTTTAAAAAATAATAATAATAATTTTTCTTGGGACTCCCCTGGTGGTGCAGGCTGCTGAGCACCGCGCTGTGAAGCTGTCCACAGTCTCTGCAGCGCCTGATCAATCCCGGCCAGCTGGCAAGTGTCCCACATGGCGGGGCAGACCTTTCCTGTCTCGCCCACTGCTCCCCTCAGCAGTGTTTTTCATCAGTCTGCCTGTTCTGTTCCCCACTCTGTCTCTGGTGAATCCTCTTACCCTCCCGTGCATCTGGCCTGTACCCCGGTTCTTGTATGAATAAATAAATCTTTAAAAAATAATAACTTTTTCTTTAAATATTTTTGACAATTATTTTAAAGCAGTTTTAGGAAGTTAACAGATATTCTCCATAAATCCCCTGCATACATGCATAGTTTCTTCCATTATCAACATCACTAATCAGAGTTTCTTTGTTACACTGAAGAATCTACAACTACAAACTCCATAGTTTATATAGGATTCACTCTTGTGCATTCTATGGGTTTGGACAAATTTTATAGTGCTATGTATCCATCATTATAGTAGTATATATAGTGTTCTCAGTACCCAAAATATCCTGTCTTCCACCTATTGACTCCTCCCTCCCCATACACTAGCACCCATTCTGCCAACACTTGGCAACACTTGATTTTTTTTACTGCCTCTACAATATTGTCTTTTCCAGAATGCTTTATAGTTGGAATCATATAGTATGTAGTCTTTTCAGATGAACCTGATGGCTTGTTTTTTTATAGAGTGGAGAACTATTCCATTGTCTAGATATAACATAATTTATCTATGTATCTAGTAAGAGAAAGCTTGAGTGGCTTCAAGTTTTGGCAATTATAAACAAGATAACCAATTATAAAGAATTAACCACTCCTTCCTCTTGGAAATATTTCCTTTATTTGATTTCCAGGTTATCACATGTTTTTTTTTTTTTTTTCCCTTCTCCTTCACTGGCTATTGCTTCTGTTTCCTCTTCTGGTTTGTTCCTCCTCTCCTTGTCTTTTAAGGTATGTAGGACTCAGACTTTGAACCTCTACCTTTGTATTTATTCTTCTAATTTACTGATATTCCCTAATAACCTCATTTTAAGTAGTATATGCTATCCCAAATGTGTATGTTGACAGGTTCTCTCCTATGAATTCCAGCTTACATATTCAACTCCCCAACTCCGTTATACTCACACCTCTGTTGACAAATATGCATTTCAAACATAATCTGTCCCAAACCAAATGTAAGATTGTACCTTCTAAAAATAACCTACCCTCGGGCCTCCCCTGGTGGCACAGCAGTTGAGTGCTGGGCTGCGAAGCTGCCCGCAGCTTCTGCAGCGCCGGTTCGATACCCGGCCGCCAGTGAGGGTCCCACATGGCGCGCAGACCTCTCCTGCCGCGCCCGCTGCTCCCCTCAGCAGTGTATTTCATCAGTCTGCCTGTTCTGTTCTCCGCTCTGGCTCTGGTGAATTTTCTCACCCTCCCGTGCTTCTGACTGTACCCAGTGCTTGTATAAATAAATAATATTTAAAAAAATAAAATAAAAATAAAAATAACCGACCCTCTACAATGGCAACAGCATGTATCCCAGTTGCTTAGGGAAATCTGTAAGGAAATCACTTAGGAAAGCTTGTTGCCTTTATTAAAATATATATTCGGAATGCTTCATTATCACAACGCCTACTATAAGTTCCATTCCTAAGCAGCCGTTTTCTCTCCCCTGAGTTATTGCCATAATCTTATGGTTTGTTTCTTTTTTCTATCTCTGCCATACCTAAATCTACTCTCACCATGCAACCAAATGGGTCAGATTGTACTACCTTTTTGCCCCAAACCCTCTAATAGTTTTTTACCTAACTCAAAGTAAAGCTCAAAAAGAAATTTTGAGGAGTCTACAAGGTTCTATAAATCAGTCTCACCTATTAAGTCTCAAATTTCTTTTCCTATTACCTCTCCTCACTGTTTCCTCTAACCACAGAACTTCTTGCTGTTCCCCCCCCCCACACACACATTGCACACACACTTTAGGGTACTGTTCCTATTTCATGGAATGTCTTCCTCAGATAATTGTGAACCTTGTTACCTTCCCTACTTTAGGTCCTTACTTCAACAAATTACCAGTGAGTTTTCCCATCATTGTCTCATTTATAATTGGAATGTTCTGAAATCTCTAATCCTTTCTCTCCCTTATTTTTCTTTTTAGAATTTATCAATCCCCACCACACTAGATCTATCTATCTATCTATCTATCTATCTATCTATCTATCTATCTATCTATCTATCTGTCTATCTATCTCTGTTTTTTTCTCCTCCTCACTCAGTTCTATTTGTAGATAGCTTTTTGTTTTTCTTAGTCACACATTTAAAGCAAATATATATTAAGGTCATCTATTAATGCTTTCAACGAATAGGTCCGAGGTGTGAATAATGAGATAATTTTAGGAGTTGAATAATTAAATAGGCATTATTTATTGAGGATTTACAGTAAGTCAGATTAAGCATCTTATGTGTACTAATTTAATTTTCATAACAATCAATTGAGATAAAACTTCTTCCATTTTTTTGAATTAGAAAACCAAAACAAGAGAGGATAAAAGTCAAACATGTTGGCAAGCTTAAGTTTTGACCCAGATATTCTGATTCTAGAGAGTGTACACTTAGCTACCACACTCACATGTGACATAGGTCTGTTTCTCCACAAGGTATTATTCCTGAGTGTTGCTTTCTTTGCATGCAATATTATAGGTATTTGGTAACAAATGTTTATTTCTTAATAGATTAGGAACTCTGAGGAGAGAGGAAAAGAGAGGAAAGGGGAGGGGAGGGAATGAGGAGGGGAGATAGAGAGAAAGAGAATATCAGGAGAGTCACCCTGGTGGTGCAAGGGGTTAAGACACAACCTATGAAGCTATCCACAGCCACTGCAGCATGAGTTTGATACCCAGTCAGGGAGTTACCCACATGGTGCAGCAGACATGACCTCTGCTCCCTCAGCAGTGTATTTTAG